TATTTCGGTCGGCACCAATAGAAGGCTGAGCTTAGTCCGAGCAATATTTTAACCAATCAGGGTTGGTGGCTGACACAAATACAAGAGCAGACACTATAGACTGAAAGCATAGACAAACCAGTCTCACTGAACGCGAAAAGAGTCTGTTTCCCATATAAACACGTGTCTGTTTTCTGTGTAGTTGTGCCAAGTGGCCTGACCTGTCAGGAGAACTTTCGAAATTAGCATTAAATAGTCCGTGTAATTGGGCCATTATTATTTATCGACCGATGTGGCCGAGAAATTGGTTAAAATGTATCATCCGTGGATAAAATATAATATTCTGAATAAATAATTGCGATACGTAAAACATTTTTCCTCAGAGCAAGAAAACAGTCGGCTCTGCCTTAGAACTTAGTCGATTAAATACTGCAGATTGAATCCGCCACTGTGAATATAAGGAACATCGTGTCTAAGTAACCCTTTTTTCTTTAGTCATCTCTTTGGAACTTGTTTTTGATATCAATTTTTTTATTTACATGCGTCGGTAGAGGAGAGTTTGACCGATTTGAATAATTAATTTGACCTACAGTACGGCTCCGAATTCATGCAACATGCCGACATTTGCGAAAGTTTAATACACACTCGCTAATCGGCATTGAGTAAGGTTGTAGTACTAATTACCATGTGGCCTATTCTTAAGTACTTTCAGTCACGATCGGATGCCGGCTTTTTAATGAACTTTCTTCTTAACGCTAAAAAAGTAATTACTGTCAAAAATGGCTAGTGTGCATTTTTATCATTAATTTTGATTCTCTTCATAAATTACAATATACACGATTGTGAGTCCAATATGCAACTTTCATGATGAAATTTAACTTGGTAGTTTAGCATATATTTGGCCAGGTTATTTTGATCAACTAAGTAGATTTTATGAGTAGTAAGGCTTTTGTTCAGAAAACTGCCCTCTTAGATAAGGTTATAGAGCGAAATGGACACTAATTTTTGCTAAATCGCGAGTAAGTTTATATCGAAGAAATTTCCTATGCTATGAAATAAGACAGAACCAACCTTTTTATTAATATGCCTTTGCTATGGGAGAACTCCAAAATATGTAAGAAAAGCATAAAACATGTCCCTTCCAGAACGGAAAAAAGGTAGTCCGAAGTTGCTCAGATGGAACTGATGCCTAATTTAAGGAATCGCATTTAATTTCAGAAACCAGGAACAATTTCAGTTTTAAAATTAATATTTGCTAATGTGTGAAGTTTTACGCCACAAAATGCAATTATAAATTTGTATGACAAAATTTGTTCAACAGTACCGATATATATGACCGTCAACTTGATATATAAGCGGGAACCCGCGATATGCCTTCTGGTCAGATGTCAAAGCCTTTCCTTTCTGACGCCGACTTCGTGCGCATACGAAAATTGGCAGCCGGAGAGCTGCCACATAAGTCGTAAGCTCATATGCTTGATATTAGTAAGGCCCCGATATCGAGAATTATTAACTATAGGACAGTGCCCAGACGTAAAATTCATGGACAAAAACGGTCTACAACGAGACAGGATGACAATTTTATTCGTCGAATAGTAAAAAGGTACCATTATATGTCCATTACGGCTATTCAAAGGGAATATTTGTCAATGTTTTCTCGGTACATAATTATAAAACGAATGCAAGAATGCGGCTTTCGCCAGCAGACAGTTACCATGAAGCCATATTTAAGTAGAAAACTAATTAAGAAACTTTTCCTCCTTGCTCAGGAATATATTAGTCTTACTTGTACTTGTACTTATTACGGCTGCGATCATGACTGATCTAGCTGGCCTCAATTATGTCCCGTATGGTGCTTCTCCAGGCGCGACGATCCATGGCCGCAGACCTGGACAGTTTG